GGGGGCTCGGCATATGCACAGCTGTTGCCATGTGCCAGAGCTGAGATGCTCAGGGGAAAAAAGCTTATTTTAGACTGAATTTTGGTGGAGGGAAAGGGTGTTAATGCTTTCATATTGTAGTCTACCAGTGTAGCAACATACAATGTAAATAACATTATAGCAAAGTAATTAACTTCCCCTAAAGAGTTGTAAACACTTAGCAGTTTTATATTACAACCTCTTGTGCTATACGAGAGTTCTGTAGCCAAAAGAAAAAAAATGATTCTTGATTAATGACCTGAGAATATATGAATAAAACAAGAACTGAAAGCAGGGCAACATCCAAAGCCTTGTTCGCAAGCTCAAGGCTTTTAAAATCAATTGAAACGATCTAAGATTCTTCATACCTGAGGCTTCAGAAGCTAAAATATCTCCCCTTCTCTTAGCCTCAGATTCAACAGTGTTTCCCCCCATTTGCGCCAAGGTGATAAGCTGGTTAACAAGCAGAATAAAGACCTGGAACTCATCTCAAGGATTGTTCTATATGAACCTCTTACAGCAATTCATGTTCTGGGAGCTTAGGAACCACTTATTTCTAAACTTAAGTGAATGAAGGATGAATGAATGAATAAGACACAGCACCAGGAAAAGTGGCTAAATCTTTCTTGTGCGTGAGCTGATGAAAGATATACAGTCAGTAGAGTTATTGCTGGTTCTTATCGATTTCCTTGGAATGACTCATGCAAGGATTAAAGGCATCAAATGCAAGGTCTTTGATCTACCTCTTTCTCCAAACACTTAAGCCTTGGTGTGATTCACTAGTGGGAATGTAAGTCCTAAACCTGGAAGAGAAGTTCAAAACTGAGAAACACAGTTCGAGGCATGTGTGTTGAGCATGAAAAATAATCCTTGTTGTCAGCTATATTGATCAGAATTTAGTGACTAAATCTCTTCCTGCCCCCTCTTAAGTTTTTTAACATGCTATTCATTGCAAGTCTATACACAAAAAGTAATTACACACAAAAGAGGTACTAGAATGACATGTGTCCATTTCAAGGCAACAGGTGATAAAATACAACCTAGGTGGGATAACGCCTTTAAAATATTAACCACATTCCCTGATGCATCTAATTTCTCTTCCCTCCTTTGCCTTCCTCTTCACATTCACATGCTTTGCCTCAGGGATGGAGGGGAAAGCATTCATTGCCTCAAGGAAAGCAAATAGCCTGTGAGACTCTTCCCAGTTGTGCATCAAAGCCTGGGTCTTAAGAGAACAGAGGGGACTCTTGGGGTTAGCTCAGTGGATATTTGATAATGACTGTCCAGAACTGGGTGGAGGGGGGGTGCTCTGGGTGGAGGCCAGGGATGCTGCTACACACCCTACAACACGCAGGACCTCTCTCCACAACAAAGAATTACCTGGTCCAAAATATCTATAGTGCCACAGTTGAGAAACCTTGGGTTAGCTAAAGGTTTGAGATGGTTTGAGGAGGGTAGGACCATATTCCTCCAGTAGAAAAAGCTTCCCTGGAATTGAGGATAGTCAAGAAAAGAGAAGTTGGGGGCCGGACGAATGGCACATTGGTTAAGAGTTGGCTTGGGATGCCAGTTCTGAGCATCAGGGCCCCGGTTTGGATCCTACATGAGGGCCAGTGATGCTGCGCCCTCTACAGCTAAGATGGTGAACAACAGCTCGACCTGGAGTTGGGCTGCCGTGAGCCGCTGGTGTTGACATAGGCTGCAGTGGAGCTGCAGTGGGCTGCCATAAGCTACCGTCTAGGGGAGGGCGAACCATCTGCCTCAGCCAGGAAGAGTGCAATGATAATACCAACATGAGCCAGTGAAGCAACGTCCTCCACAACTAGACTGAAGAACAAAAGGACAGCAACTTGCTTGTTCCCCTTCCCCGATTCCCCAACGCTGTTCCCTTTCCCCAATTACCCAATAAAATCTTTAAAAAATAGAAAAGAAAAAAGAAGTCAGATGTAAGTGATACGACTGTAGACATCTGTGCCTTCTGGATAAAGGGGCCCTAATGCTGCCTCCCAGGCAAAGCCCTAGGGATGCAACAAAATAAAGACTTGTGTAATTGCAAAGAGAACCTCTGTATGTCCAGCTTGTGGAGCCCCAGTGCAGAGTCTGGCAGTGAGTCCAGGCAGCAGAAAGAAAAAAACAGATCACATACTAAAAATAAGAAACCAGAATGGCCTTGAACTTCTCAAAAACACTAGGAGCTATTAGATAATAAAACAATGCCTTCAACATTCTTAGAAAAATTATTTCCAATCTAGAATTCTATACCCAGCCACACTATCAGTCAAATGTGAAGATAGAATAAAAATATTTTCAAACATACAAGTCTCAAAAAACTTACCTCTTATATACTCTTCCTAAAAGTTACCAGAGAATATTTTCTAAAACAAAAAGAAGAGAATGTCAAGGAGTGGACACAGGGCATGTGACACAGGAGAGTGGTAGAGGGAATCCCAGTGTCACGGTGAAGGGAGATCTTAGGATGATAGCTGTACCAGATGTGGAGCTCAACAGCCCATACTGGAGCCATGTGACTTCGTATGCATGAAGGCTGTGATTTCTTCTGCCAATATATTGTCTTTTTAATCTGAAGAAGTTGCTGGATGTTGTGCTCCAACAAAATGAGGGTGTAAACCATGAGAGAGGAAGAAGATGTGACGTCCAAGAAACAGGGAGCTCATTCAGGATATAGGCACAGGAAATTTCTCAGATAAGAGTGGAAGGAAATCCCAGGATGATGTTCAGTAAGCCTAAAGAGCAACCAGTTCAGAGAGGAAAAGATAGGAGGGATGTCTCCAAGAAAAGAGTGTAACTGATTGATTACTTCACCTGGTGCAGAGAAGCCTTTGGGAGATGTGGGAAGAGTTAGCAATGGGTACAGGGAGAACTAAATGAAGGAAACAATAAGGTAATTATTGACCTCAGGAGATGTGAAAGATAAGAGAGAAAAGATAATAGATTATAATTTTTAGAGGTAATGTTTGGGTATATTAATGTAAACATGAAATGTTTAATAAAAAATTGTAATGTTATTGTACAGGAGGAGGATGCGCGGGGGGGGGACGAGACATAAAGGGGATAATTGTGCAAGAGAGCAATATCCTCATCTACCATAAAAGATTACAATCAAATTATATCCAAAATGAATGATGCAAAAGAGAGTAGAATACACACATTATTTAGAAATGTAGATATGTGTGAATGCCCGAAGAGACAGCTAAAATTATTGCAAGTCCTTGTCTCTGGGACTGTTTTTGTTCATTAATTTTGTTTTAAGCCCTTTTGTTATGTTTTAAAACAACCTACATGTATAGAAAAAATATAAATTACTTTAAAAAGCTTTTGAATTTTAGACACACCAGCAGACTGAACAACAGAAAAGAAACCATATGCATAATTAAAGGGAAT